ACCAACTGGACCACTGAGCCGGCATCCAATGGTGATAGTTTCTAACATCAACCAATCCACGAAATTGCGCGACCAACTTCCATTGTACCTAAGTAGATAACTGTCTCTACCCGACAAGGATTAGCTTCACTGGTCACAACTTCTCACAAAAACTCCGAGAATCCCCTCACGAAGCTAGTCACTAGTGAGCACATGTTAATAATCAGTATGGGGGTTGTGGAGATTGTTAAGTTTTTGGTTGAGAAGGTGGTGAGAAGCCGTGATCATCGTCTAATTCGTATTTGCATAGACCACCGAAAGATGTTATGTGCGCTTTCAATTTTCCGTAATCACCTATCGTTTACATTATAAATTGGCAAATGGCTTACCAGGAATGTTCGCCTGTGAGAACACTTTGTACCGCATATTATAGATATCTTGATCATTCAGTAGTTTCCCATAAGAATGGTAAGCATAATTCTTAATGTGGAATGAAGCAGTACCAGATATTAGCAGCGGTCGCACATTTTCAAACTGGGCCTCTGTTAACCTGCGCACCCATGAATTACCTTGGTACCTCAGGGAATTGCACTCGTGATTGTGATGCACATTCCCACGTACAACAGTCCAGTAGCCGTCGATAATCTTACAATACATGAAGGCCGGACATTGAGTGTTTATGGAAGCCCTTCATGACAAAAAAATGTTAATAACATTTATAAAATTACCTCCTCCGTCTGATCCGCTGTGACGAACCGCTAGATGTTATACGGTCATGTCTCCAGCACACAAATTTAATGTAAGAGTTTTCATTTCTGCACAAATGCGAATCTCGAACTACATAATGACAGTAAGTTGATCTTTCATAATTTGTGATAGCGGACTTCAACGCTTCAACCGATGGGAACGCAACGAGAAACAAGGTTGTCAAAAAGACTTCCTCCATTTCTGTTACGTGAGAAACAACAGCGCTTGTACTAGGCACGTTACTCTCCTCCATAATGATGATTAAATGATGATTAAAATGTACTTCGTCGACAAGTACTGATGTTTTATAACAATCCGACAAAACATAACTAACAAATTAAAAACGAACTTCAAAACTAGCCATTTGATTGGACGAAACGGGATGAAAAATATTGCAATTTTGGGTTGAAAAAACATTTTTAAAAAGGGTGGGTGGGGTTTTTTTTTAAAAAATTGCCGTGGGGCTAATAAATATCCAACTTCCTATGATTGACATTTGAGAATTCCAACATTTTTATACTTTGTCGACTGTCTGTGTTTTATCCCCAAACAACCAATAAAGTGGAAGTAAAGGCGAAAAGGGGAAATAAAGCGGACGAAAGTGTAAATAAAGGGGAAATGTCTCTTTTCGCCTTTACGTCTGTTGGGGTTTTAAAACTAGCTATTTGATTGGATGAAACAGAATGAAAATTATTGGAAGATGAGGATGCAAAGTTTTTTCGAAAGGGATGAAAAAAATTGCACTCGAAAAATAATTCAAAAATGGCCGTGCATTTAATGTCTATCACAAATAACTTACGTGATGGAGGTGAGTGACGTGCTCTCCGATTTTCATATTCGTTATAACTAATCACCTTGTTACTCCAATACTATGAGTTTAATTGAAGTCACTGAGAAAGCTCGTAGACGTAGGGCGACTATGAACTTGTCAAGTGTCCTTGGCTGTCATAGATCGACTTATAGCAGAAGGTGGGATAAAATACGAGCAGCTTTCATGAAAAAACATAACTTGCTTTCGTTTAGTGAGCTTGCTAATGAAAGCACCGTAAAAGGTAACTGGCTTTAACAGTAGTGTATGTTTAATTGATAGAAGTCGAGAAGGAAATTAAATGTAATATCAGAATATTAAAATAACTTTATTTAAGCCTGATAATGTTATAATAGTAAATGGACAGCCTGGTTTAGTCACCGATATAGAGGAGGATAGACTACTTAAATTTAGGTATTTCACTGACACACGCATTTACTTTGAAGATCCTTTCTTATCTAGTGATATAGGAATCTATATGTGCTCCGTAGTTAGCCATGAACACACATGGGTATCGGTTAAGGATATTGATTGTAAATGTATAGCCATAAATTGTATCAATTTTTTCGACTCACTTATGTGATTTTAATATTTAGACAGCATGCGCACTTGTAGTATTTTTTCCCCACTTATGGTGTCTTTTGCGTCTCGAAAGCTCATCACTTGACTTGCGGATATGATTTGTCTGTTGTATGAAGTGTTAAGTGTTTCGGATAATTCGTTGCTTCGTGTGATGAGTTCCTCAACTTTGAGTAAATTTTCAGGGCATATCATGGGAATCTGAAATGTCCTTGAAAATTTCTGAAGAATAAATCCTGAATCGGAATTAGTTTCGCAGTTCTTATGCACATTTCCCCAAGTCTGATGATGAAATTTTCAATAAATCTGGGAAATTGGATTGAATCTCTCTTGTGTTGGTAAAGGACAATTTTATTTAGCTGGGTTGGCTTTTGTTTTGATATATGGACAGGTTTTTTCATCAGAAATTACGTCGGTGAAATTGCTACACGATTTGTGTTCAGAAAGGTCCTCATATAATGGTAACGCTACGTATAATTAGTTCTAGAATTGGCCTTTTTAGTCTTGACCTTAACAAAAATGGGATGGAAATTGACATTTTTCATTATGCAATGGGGGATGAGGGGAGTTCGCTCATTCAGTGTTAATACTGGATGGGTTACATAGTTCAACGCAAAATGAAGATTAATGTGGAAATTTGATTTGTGGACAGTCTTTGAGAAGTGTCAAGGTGAACTTAAAATACTTCATCTACTAGCTAGCGTCTAAAGAGGTTTATAAATTAGTGTTTGGAATTATAATTGGGACTTAAAATTGTAAGTTAGGGTTAAAAATCAGACTTAGGGTTTTCAATGCGAACTGACGTCGGCTATAATGTTAAAATGCTATTTAGTCATATGTATGAATGAATTTCGCCCCGAAATCCAAGACCAGCTACATTAAACCTGATTGGTTCGTCCATAAATTATAGTCTTGTCAAGTATATTTGTATTTTCGTCTACTTATTACTTATTTATTAAGACACACTGATATATAAGTAGGCAGCAAATATGTATGCGTAACACAACATTCGATTTTTGCAAGGATCGGAATATTGTCCGGGCGCCTAAACCGAAATACGTGGTTTTCTTAGGAGGTCACTCCCCAAGCATTTTACCTAGAGGTCTAGCCCAAAAGGCAGTTGGGCAACGTCAGAAGATGCAGTCCCATGGTACATGGTGACCAAAAATAGGTGCATACGGCATTCGTTCCTCCATGACCCTGGGGCCAGCCCATGTGCACCATTGGTTTGGAATCAGGGTTTTCCAACTCTCCTATATGTATCCTCCATATTCGCTAACTCGGTTAAAGCACTGTATATTCGCTTTTCATCCTCTCACTTTGGTAAACAAAACGACCGCTGCGAGAAGGAAGTGAGTAAGACTTCCCTGACAATAGCTGTATTGATGTTGCCATGTGAGAGTATTTCAAGAGGGGGAGCTGACTCTCCCCACCCTCCGCCTTACCAGGTCATTCGGGGGCGAGTATAATTTAGTTTCATGTTTTGCAGATAACAATTTCTTACTGAAATTTTTATTTTACCCTGATGTCTAAAACTGTTTTCAGTTCTATCGATCAATTCACTTTATTTTCAAATGCCATATTTTTATGAATCAACCATATATGAATGGACAGCAGATGAAGATTATATCATAAACGTAAAGAAATGAACATTAGGCCATAGATATAATAAGTGCAATAAAAAAAATTTACAGGACGAATTCGCCCCGAAATGCCCTGGTATGTCTGTGAGTGGGGTGGGCACGCCCTCGCTCTCGAAATGATCTCACACGGCCACGCGTATACAGCCTCTGACAAGGAAGTCGTACTGACTGCCTTCTCGTGACGGGGGTTTTGTTTACGAAAATGAGAAGACGAAAAGCGAATGTCCGATGTTTTAACAGGACCCCGAACCAATGGTGCACATGGGCTGGCTCCAGTATCCTGCGGGAACAAATGGCGTATGAACCAGTCGTTGGTCACCGGCTACCATGGGAATGCATCTCCTCACGACGCTCCACTGCCTTGTGTGCCATACCTTCAGGTCAAAGGCTCGGGGTGTGGCCTCCTAAGAAAACCACCTGCTTCGGTCTGGGCACCCGGGCAGTATCACAGCTCACACACACATATGATGAAATGTTGTGGTGCATATTGTATTCGGTGCCCCCTTTGCACCAATATTTATGTGTTCAAATCAAAGTAAATATTTGGTGTCCATTATATTAAATCTATGAAAAAATAGCTTACTTGGTTACACCGACAGTCAGACATTTCAATCAACGGAGCAAATCAGTGGTAACGATAAGCAGCACCTTCCATACAATTTAAAACGAGATATATAAATCAACCGTGCCCAACAAACCTGTTGTTCCAAAAGGAAACAAGTCTCATGCAATTAGTTCCTTTTATGAATTTAAATAAAGCAAGAACAAATGTTGATGCAGAATAGTATGAATTCATAATATTTGGAGGTTTATCGTCAGCTGCTTACAACCAAAATATGTAATAGAATTTTACATTGAGATAAGAAATAGTGTGGAACAGTTGACATAAATGTATATATATAACACAATATAAATAGATAAATGTAACTCTTAAACCAACTTTTAATTCACTCATTTCCCCCCACTTACCCTCTTAAATTATGTCAGCTTTCAAATTCCATTCAAGCAGCTGAAGAGAAACCAGGAAACAAGTCCTTGGATCAAAGTACGGCCAGCACATCAGGAAAATCTGATGTAACAATTCAAGAACCAAATGAAGTGATTCCCGAGAAGTTCTTTAAGAGATTGAAGGAGTGTAAAGATCCTAATTTGATCATTGAAGAATACGATAAATTTCAAGAAACTAGAGTGGCTTTTAATAGACTAGCTTTTAATTGGACTGTGGACATGTCCATGGTTAATTTGTTTCAATATGAAGGTGTGGACACAGAATGGATTTATTCCTACCTGTGCAACAAATCAGGAACACGTGAAAAATTGTTGGAAGATATCGAAGACATGTTGACAATATTCATGATCTGGGGCAATAATATTTCAAAAATGAGAATGAGTATGTCTAAAGAGAGTGTCGCCATCCTAGACAATCTTATAATGAAATATAATTTGAAACCAAGTTTACGAGGAATGGACAGGCGCAGAACAATAACACTCTCAAGGGTTGCAATGTGCTTCCCTATCTGCCTCATCTCATGCACCATTCAGCTCCACAAGACAAGGCGTCTTGCTAATAGACCATGCCTTGACAACATACATTGTTTGTTGAGATGTTCACCATTAATGGGATATATGGCCTATTCATTCAGCCAACATGCTAACATCCTAAGTTTAGCAAGTGCTGTTATACGTGACAGTGTAATTGGTGACAAGAAACGCACCTTGAGTAACTTGAAATGTTACCAACAAGCAGCACTGCGGTCATCCAAAATTCTTGTCAAAGAGGTTGAGAACAAGCTTAAGGAATATGGGGTGCTGGAACCTCCAATCAATTGGGATGTGATTGGCAGGCCTTTAGAGGATGCATTATCATACAAGAATGATAATAAAACATTGATTGAAGTTGCATCATTAATTGAGACATTCTTGTTCATGGTGAAACCTCCTGATGAATGGTTGCCGTACATCAGGGCTGACATATCCTCAACAGAAGTTGGGTAAATGATGACATCATCATTCATCTTAACTAACTAAGTTATCTGTTAAATAACCACACAATATAATGTGGTTCATGGTAAACACCATAATTCGTATTTATTTTTTCATTTTATCTTGCACATTTCATGATTTTGCACTTTATTCACACATTTTGTTTTATTGGTTTTAACATATTTGTTGGTTTTATTGTCATATATTGTTTTAAACAAACGTTTTTTCTTTTTCTCTATCATGGTCACCAGTTTAGTGTTGCACCATCACCATGCAATTAATTTGAATTTCACGATAAAAGAGAAATGGAGACAAGTGAAGCTTAAAGCAGCTGACTAGAAAGGAAAAATACCAACCTGATTTCCCGGCAGGGATCAAACAATAAGCCTGTTAGAAATCACGTTGTACTGAAATCACCTAACGAAGCTATTTGCATTGGCTTAAGCTAATAAGTAAATGTCTGGAATGTTAAATAAATACAAGAGCCGTGAGATAGTACTGAATTGTGTAGCATGTCTATGAGTTGTCTTGTAAATAACTTGAATTTGGACATAGTATACATTTTTAATGTAACTTTTATTTAAGTAACACGAAAGATATTCTGACAACTAAATGGTAACACCCATTTGAAAAAGTATTTAGATAATAACATAGCGACCCCCTGCACCAAACCAACGATGGACTCAAATAGACCATATTGCCATCAGTCATCAATGGAGATGCTCGGTAGAAGATTGTCGCTCGTTCTGGAATGCCTGCTTGGACTTCGACCATGCCCTAATAAGGGCACGCATCTACTTTCACCTCACTGGTCGAAGAGAAGCCACATTAAAAAGACTCATTAGAATTAAATTGAGTGATGAGAAAGCCGAAAGTAGATTCCAGGAACAACTGAGGTCACACTTAGTTAAGATATACAAACAGCTGTGGAAACAGCAGGGACAGCTATTAGTGATTTAAACCAAAGGGTTACAAAGAACCAATGGATTCCTTCTAAATCTATTGCACTGATGGGTTCTCGTAAGCTCATCCCATCAGGCTCTGAACACGATGATGAACGAAAGAGAATCAGATATAGGTTAAGAAAAAGTCTAAGGAACGACCGTGAGCAGTGATGGGCAACGAAATCAAAAGAGATGGAAAAGGCGGCGGCTATAGGTAACACAAGACAGCTCTTCAGATTCATAAAAGAAACTGGAACCAAAACGTAAAGTAAGTGGAACTATCTCGGAAAAGGGCGACACTTATTTGCTCCCAGCCCAGACGGTTAGAACGATGGACGGAACACCTTAGAGAACAGTTCATCTGGCCTTCAGATACTCTACAATTGCTCAACATTCCCAGGCAGCGTGAATAAAACATTGAAGTAGGTCACCCAACTCTAGCTGAAGGCTATAGCTAATCTGAAACGAGGAAGAGCAGATGGATCGGCTCCAGAGGTCTTTAAGGATAGTGGTCGAATTTTGATGATTAGGCTGACTAATATTTTAGCTAAGATCTAGGAGTTAGACGTTATCCCATCTGACTAGTCGCGATCACTTATTGTCCCAAAATCATCTTGTTACAATCATAGAGGGACTAGTTTGACTAACATAGCATCTAAAATACTAGCCTCAATAATTATTGTGCACATAACAATGACGTGTGAACTGCAAACACGAGAAAATCAGGTTGACTTCACACCTGGTTGTGGCTGCATCGACCACATATTCACCATTCGTCAGGTTCTAGAACAAAGGCATTCTTATCGGCGTGCGACAATGGTGGTCTTTTTTGACTTAAAGGCAGCATTTGACTCTGTAGACTGAGAGGTTCTGTGGCAGTGTCCGTCATTGAGAGGCGTACCTCAGAACTACATAAACCTTGTGAAGGCTCTTTACTCGAACACTACTAGTCGAGTCAGGGCTTATGGCGAACAGTCATCTGCTTTTGCAACCTCGAGTGGTGTTCGTCAAGGCTGTCCACTTTCTCCACTTTTGTTTAACTTCATCATAGACGCACTGATGGATCACCGGGTAAGTAATAGTGAGGTTAGACACAGGGTATTAGGGAATGATGGTAAATCGGTTGATGAAGTTGCGAATCTTCACCGACTGAGGTGATGCCCCCAAATGCCCTGGTACAGCCGAGAGTGGGGAAAGTCCGCTCTCCCTCTCTCTAGAAATGCTCTCACATGGCCGCGTGGTCCACTGCCACTACACTAATCTCCCACCAGAACCAACGTGATATTGGTTCGGTACCAAATTATATAGGATTGTCGCGTGCCTGAGGTTACCAAGAATAGTAGGAATCCTCCGGGTATTGATAAGCTGAAAGATAAATCAAATGGTGGCAGTATTTGGTCAGGAAATACATGTTATAATTTTAAAATGTCCGGTTTAAAGCTTAACTCGCTTAAAATGAAAGTTTGGGTGAGAATTATTTGGGCTATAGAAAATGGGATTATAATAATAATAATAATAGTAATAATAATAATAATAATAATAATAATAATAATAATAATAATAATAATAATAAAACGTAAGATGCGTGTTAATAGCCGTTGTTTAATAACTTAACTTATAGGTAGTAGGTATTTTCTGTTGAGATATATTAATAACAATCAATATTATATAAATGTTAATATTGGTATTAGTTTTGGTTTAAATTCTGAAATCAAATTACGACTATGCCGGTAACCTGTTCACATGTGATTTCCAATTGCATCTAATTTAGTAGGCTAACTGAAAGAACAAAAGTATTACCGTGGAAAAGAATTCCAACTAGTGTTCCAGTTAGTTTGATGCGGTTTATTTAGTTACGGAGAGATTTTCTCAACCTTGACCGTGATAGAATTTAGTAGCACTACTAATACGCATGAATGGTTATCACAACAAAATTTAAATACGTGAGTGATGATTATGCGAATTTTAGACAGATAGCTAAGAACAAGTCGTTGAACATGAGTGTATTGGTAAGAGACATGCTCTAGACTCAATGTTCTGCGTTGCCACAAACTATTTATTTATATTTTTACCTGCAGGCTGATGGTGCATACAAGTTAGTTGCAAGCATACAGTTTATCATAAGGCGGAATACGATTTAATCGAGATATAGTGATTATAAGTTATTGAAATCAGTTAAGTCTATATGCTACATTACTAGGTGACGTGCTGCAAGATGTATTCGGCTAAATAAGTTTTGACAAGATGATTAACAGTGGGTGATGCTCATGTGATTATTAGAGAGAACATAAGTTGTAACCAAAGGAAGTACACTCGCAACTCATGCCTATGATAATGGCTTGAACCTTAGTCAGTACTCGCGTGAATTCGACATTGATATTTTCAGTTTGCAGGAGATTCTCTCGACTGCTTATACTGATTATTTGCATGCATGATTGTGTCGCTAATTCATCAATTAGACTGACAAGGTTTTGAGATATTTACTGAATGAGCAACTGATAGAGAAACATACTGTAATCATCTTTCTAGAATGAAGATAAAGGAAAAACAACACTAGCGATAATTATAAGTCAATTTGCTGACCGATTTTGTTAATAGTTTCATTAATTTTATCAGTCATATTACGTGATTGTCAAGTCATGACAATGCTTTATGACGATATCCTGAAACTATTAAATTTAACTAGTTATAGTGTTGATTGAGGATTAGTCAGTGGAAAAATAGGTATTGTTGCTTTAGGTGATCCGAAATTACCAGAAATTTGTAACGTTAAAGAATCCGAGACGCCTAATTTAATTATAAATTTTAATTCAGAAAGATTCGTTTAGTGTTAATTCTGGTAGGCTCCAGAGTTTTGATTTTAAACGTTTGTTTAGCCAACAACTACCTGAGAATTTAGTTATTTTACTAGTGCAGTTGATAGTACGTAAGTTTTCAATCTTGTTATCTAAACTATGTTCGCATTTTAGGCTGCTAATATGATAAACCAATCCATAAACCTAGATATGATTAGCAACAACGACTATGATGGGTTTATTGATTTATAAATTTAGAAGACATGAAGATATAATATAATGCTTGTACGGGTCAGGTTAACATGCATGTTCTTGACGTATATAACAATTTAAAAATAATGAACATGACCAGAAAAATAATTTTAAAGTTAAGACTGCTTGTGAAACTTCAGGCAGGAATATGACGCGCTATAAACATTCCATAAGAAGATACTGCATTTAGCCTAGGGACACTTACAAATATATGGCAGAAGCAACTGAAAAACATATACATGTTAAGTACAAAAATTCATCCAGTAAAATGATTGAACTCGCCTGAATTATTTTTGAAAATTAGATTATTCAGTGGACGACATATATAACGCCATTCGTGAGGAGTAGTAATGATCCAAAAGCATCCAGAATAAAATATAGCAGTATGACAATTAATTCCAGGGTGCTTGATGTTGTTGACGTTTTTGCCACTCGCTCGGATCAGAACAATTGAATGAATCCAGATAATTGAGTGGTTGCCACTGAACGAGCTATCTAAAGTGACCTTATGATTGCAGAAAACTTATAGTTGAAACTCACCGTATGTTTTTGGCGTAGTGTCATCCTTTTTGTTTGGCAATGTAACTCGAAAATATGAAATTAGGCCGGCAGTGGTCGGAAGAAAATATATTATAGGATAGTGCATAGTCTAAAACAGGATGAAGTGTTAATTGAAGGAACACTAAGAATTAGATCTAGATAACTATTTAGTCCTTGATAGCATTGTTAATCAATGTATATTTACGTTATTTACAGGTCATAGTTGCTAGAGCTTGGTGTTTAAACATGTAAATGCTATTAAAGCTTGTTAACGAGCCATCAAAGCTAATTAGTTAATATAGACGACCAATTTTTATTATCGATCGAAGGAGGTAATTTGACTAGTGTTATCATAACTTTTCATAAAGGACTTCCGTGAACACTCAACGTCCTTCTTTCATCTTGCTGATGGAAGTGCCTAGATTTTTTGTCGATGTGAAGCAATGTTTCATTTATTTTGTGCTTATCATCCATCACCACATGTCCATGGAATCCACTGTCCCATGTGCGGCGCTATAACGGAATCATAACAACTCCTTTTTTCATGAAATTCGGAACTGTTAAGAGAACGAGTAAAGGCCCTTTTCAGGGCCACCCACAATGTGATTTCAATTATTTTATTTCAATTCCTTATTTCCATGGCAAAGGTCAAGTGATGAAACCATCAAAATTCATTTAAGATTAATAATCATTATGTGATTATCGTCCATGTATTCGTAAACGCTTTTTAAGCTTTGTCAAATACACGGTTTAAGTAAACGATTTCGTATAGGAAATGTCATCTCATGAACACTTATCTGTCTAACAATAGTACATGCAAAACTTATTCAGAATGTCTCAGTGTTTTATCATATAGTTACGATAGACGAATGTAGTACTACCAGTTCACTAGTACAACGACATCATTTCTATAGGAAAGGTTAACTGAACCAACATTGATGAATTCTAATTAAGCCTTAGTGATTAAGCAATATAATCAATTGAGATTTATAAAAATTTCATGGATTACTTGAAGTTAGACACTAACATGTTTTTCATGGTGCTCTAGCTTCAACTCGCTCATGATCTCAACTATTCCAATAAAAAAGAACAATTCTGTCTGACTGTTCCATCCGAGTTTTAATCGAAATGTAAACCAATTTCATTTTACTCAGAGAGTAACAAATAATATTTATGTGATTGGGTTCTTTTCCAAACAGTAATTCTTAGTACAAAAGAGTTGTTTAGTTTCGCCGGAAAAATGGTGTCATAAATAAATGCAGGAGTGTAAATTGCGTTATTTTGCTAATCCATTAAAAGCGTTAATTGTTTTTAACTGTACATTCTTTGTAGTTGAGCTGTTTAAAATTATGACAAATAGTACTTGTCTATGTAAGTAGTCATGTGAATGAGTTATTATGCTCGTCAATTGGGCTTAACAAGTTTTGCACGTAATGTCAACAGCATATTTGCAGTTTTAAAATCCCCATTTAATATTCTATATTGTTGAATAACAAGTTTTGACAAGGATTTGAGATGTTGGTTACATAAAGTGTAAAAGTACAAGCCTACGTCTAACATAGTAAATGTCTGAGATATACTCAATTACACAGCTTAATACAAACATAGTTAATTGTATCACATGACATTTGGGTATACGTACGTTTAATTTCAATGTAATATATAAAGGCCTACCATTTATTTACCAAACGTCAAAATGATCCATTTCACTTTACTGAAACATGGTACTCTAGCTTCAATTCACTCATGATCTCAACTATTTAAATAAAATAAATGGGACTACCATTCACGTGATAGTGATACATTTATCCGTTTTATAAAATGTCTATATCAATTAATGTGGCACTTATCTGTAACAATGTTACATGCAAAATGTAATAAGAATGTTTCAATATAGTGAAAGGGATTATTTAGACGTTTGATATATAAATGGTAGGCTTTTATCTATTACATTGAAATTAAACGTACATATACCCAAATGCCTTGTGATACAATTAACTATGTTCGTATTAAGCTGTATAATTGAGTCTATCTCAGACATTTATTATGTCAGACGTAGGCTTGTACTTTTACACTTTATGTAACCAACATCTCAAATCCTTGTCAAAACTTGTTATTCAACAATATAGAATATTCTATGGGGATTTTTAAACTGCAAGTACGGCTATTTTCGTAAATCAAGGCTATCTCGGGTTTGACATTAAATGAATAATATTCATACATGACAAAAAGTGTATATGCAGTTTTTTTATTGTTTGTCTATTCTGTTTAACAAAGGGAACCGCTGATTTGCAAAAATAATTACAGACTGTATAAATAAGTTACATTATTATGAAAAAAACATTTTACTCACCGAATTCCAGGAGCGGCATCGTGGATGCGCACTGCTGAGGAGTCTCACAATAGGACGAAACGGCCGTCCAGTGCTTTCAGATTTTTAATTGTGGTAGTCTAACATCAATCGGTGCATGATCTCAATCAAAAAAATCTATTGTTATTATTCGTATTATGTAATCTAGTATTATAACCCTTTTTTATTACGTCATGGTTAACTGTGTTCACATTTCCTCACGGAATTAGTACTTTAAAAAAAACAAAAAAATTTTTCAGATATATACGATTGTACAGCTTGATAATCAATTCGCTGTAAAGAGATCCCTTCGCTGAACTTCGTGTTTTTAATTTTTAATGTTTAAATGGGAATTATCTGACAGTTTTATTTATTGAATCCACGTAAAACCTACTACAACTTGGCATTACAAATAAAATTGAACTTTAACACATATAATAGTTCGAATTACTCATATTGTCAGTTCAACTCCCATGAACTACTGGGCGTTTTGTGAGTATGCTTCTCATTTTACGTTTAGAAGTCGGTTGATTCATAAGTTGAAGGATAAATACAGTCATGTATGTGAATATGTTACCTTCTCTCTTAATTTCATTATAACTTTAGTTATTTGAGAGAATTTCCGTTAAAACGTTTATTTTAAAGGTTGATGTAATATATCGGGTATCTAATGATTAATTTATACACCGTGTAAATTTTTCGGCGTATTTTCGTGATGTGTGCTGACTGAAAATCTCTCAGTTCCTAAATTAATTATTTAAATCAATGTATCACTGATCTTAAATGTATTTTGAATTCTACTGGATCTCAATCAGAAAAGCTTCTCTACAACAGCTGAATTTCTTACTCTAGTTAGTCAAGCATAGGAGAAGATAGAAATAGTCTTCTTCATTGGTTAAGAGAAGAAGTAAAATGTAGATAAATTAAAATAATCTAGAAAAGCTGAAATATTAGAGGCATATGTTAACTAGTGTTTCATCATCTTCATGAACAATGGGCTTACTAAATTATTTGTAAATCAACTGATTAGTACCAGTAATTATTAGTATTTGTTCTTAAACCTCATGAGAATACAAAGGAAAATCTTTTCAACTTATTGTGTAAACACACTTGGTGGTATATGCCTTCAGTCTGAATTCCGTATTCATCCTGGCTACATCACAAAGTGATCTATGCCATTTAAAAAGCTTTTTGAAATAATCAATCTAATCTACGAAGTATCATTCTTTTTACACATTTCTTACCTATCATGTAATTTTTACATCGAAATCATTTTATTTAGGTGACACATAATGTTTTGAAATCGTTTGCTTATAACTTTTCAAATAGGATAGTCAACCAATTGAACAATCAAAGGCGTCATCTGCGAATACTTATTCTTTATTAGGTATTGAATGGAATATTTGGAGAGATATAGAACTTGGTGGGGGTTGTGGTGTTAGTGGTAGGCATAAAAAGCCAACAAATCCTAACGATCACCGTGGTGTACTCACAACACTTTCAGTTTCATCTCCTAGATCTTGGATTCGTAATTTTGGTGCATTGTGGAGATCTACTTGGTATTGGCTTCGATCATCTGAAAACAATGCTCAAATATATCCTCATAGTGATTCTAAAACTTCATTGAATTTTTTCGCAGATTCTCCAGTCACTATATCTGAAAAAAAGCTGGAACAAAGTCGTGTGAAATTCGCTCGCCTTACTTATACTCCAATTTGTACAGGATGTTCGAAATGTTGGGAGAAGAAGTTAATGGTAAGCACCTTATCATATTTAGACGCCTATTTACTAATGCTGATAGATTGTAGTGGTTACATAAGAGGAACTGGAATTTAGTCAGAACCAAGGACTAGACAAGCACAAGATTGATTACTACTTAATGATGAACTGATGTGTATATCCTAGTTTTATCTGAAGTCAGTCGCCGTATAAACGGCTCATCACTATATCTTAAACTGTGACCTAGTAACTTGTGTTCAGATCGTGTGCGGAGCACCGTTTCCCTCAAGATTGAAATTGGCACGAAATCTAGGTCCAGCGTTTTCTGTCGTCCACCTACAACAGCCTAACATGGCATAGTTAGCTTATCGATGACGAAATATAATAGTCCAGTTTTTCCCCTCAGTCAAATGTTTTTTTTTGCCATCAGTGTTTAGTATTTAATGTTAATAAACTAGCGACAATTAACTTCCTCTTTTATTTTTATAAATTAGTTTGACTATGATAATCATTAGTAATACGTATGTTGTCACCTCATTTTATTTTATACATTTCTATTAACATTGGCATCAGTGCTTGTAGTCACTAACCTCTAGTCTGAGCCATGTTGGTAGATGCAGACTACTTGGTTGGGGTCCGCGTGACTATCGTAACCAATGGTTGGAGACTTGGTGACATGGCTCAGAATCGGTCACAATGGCGTCGGTGTATACACTCTCTGTCTTCCCTTAAACTAAGAGATTAAAATGGTTGGGCATGGGGTTAGCGACCCCATCCCGTGAAAACTAACTCTCTAAAAAAACGCTAACCAGAACAAAATTATTCAAACCTTTTAAACTCTACCCTGGGAGTCAGAAGGTCTTCATCTAAAAGAACTATGACGCCTCATGATGAAAGCCGAGTTCCTTCGGAAGTTACGAGGCCGATGACCCTTCTGACAACCAGAGCAACCATTTATTCAGGTACATGGAGTGTTCGTACAATGTGAGACACCGGGAGAGCCTTCCAAATTGCTTCAGAAATGAGGAGATACAACCTAAAGGTGCTTGGGATCGGTGAAACACACTGGACGCAAGTTGGACAACAACGACTAACTTCAAGAGAGCTTCTGTTATACTCCGGCCTTAAAGAAGAAAATGCCCCACATACACAAGGAGTTGCATTGATGCTGTCCAAACAAGCACAAAATTCACTTGTAGGATGGGAATGTCATGGACCAAGGATCATCAAAGCCTCCTTCAAAACAAAGAAAGAGGGTATTTCAATGAACATCATCCAATGCTATGCGCCTACCAACGACTACAATGAAGACGCTAAAGATCAATTCTGCGATAGGCTGCAGCCAATCGTCGAGAAGTGCCCAACAAAGGACCTGACCATTCTGATGGGAGATTTCAATGGCAAGGTTGGAGTGGACAATACTGGATATGAAGACGTCATGGGACAACACGGACTGGGAGAAAGAAACGAAAATGGTGAGAGGTTTGCAAACCTATGTGCCTTCAATAAGCTGGTCATAGGCGGCACCATATTCCCACATAAGCGCATTCACAACCACATGGACTTCACTGGATCACACCACGCAAAATCAAATCGACCATATTTGCATCAACAAAAAGTTCAGGAGGACGATGGAGGACGTGAGAACAAAGAGAGGAGCTGATATAGCCTCAGATCACCACTTGCTGGTCGCCAAGATGAAATTAAAACTCAAGAAGCACTGGACAATGGGGCGGACCACAACACAAATGTTCAATACGGCCTTTCTTCAGACACTGACAAACTCAACAAATTCAAGATAGTCCTCAGCAACAAGTTCCAGGCCTTTCATGATCTACTCAATGGAGAAGGAACTACTGTGGAGAGCAACTGGAAGGGGATCAAAGAGGCAAACACTTCAACATGTCATGAGGTCCTGGGTCAAAAGAAGCACCATTACAAGGAATGGATCACTGTTGATACACTGGATAAGATTCAAGAAAGGAGGAACAAGAAGGCAGCAATCAATACCAGTCGAACAAGAGCAGAAAAAGCCAAGGCACAAGCTGAATACACGGAAACAAACAAACAAGTGAAGAGGAGCATCAGAACCGACAAACGTAAATATGTGGAAGATTTAGCAACGACGGCGGAATAGGCTGCAAGAGAAGGAGACATGAGACAATTGTATGACACGACAAAGAAACTCTCTGGAAATCGCCGCAAACCAGAACGACCAGTGAAAAGCAAGGAAGGCAAGGTAATCACCAACATTGAAGAGCAACAAAACAGGTGGGTAGAACACTTCAAAGAACTGTTGAATCGACCAGCTCCACTGAACCCACCCAACATCGAAGCAGCACCCACGGACCTCCCAATCAATGTTGGCCCACCAACAATTGAAGAAATCAGCATGGCCATCAGACAAATCAAGAGTGGCAAAGCAGCAGGACCGGACAACATCCCAGCAGAGGCACTAAAAGCAGACGTCGCGGCAACTGCAAGGATACTCCACATTCTCTTCAATAAGATTTGGGATGAGGAACAAGTACCAAGAGACTGGAAAGAAGGACTTCTGATCAAAATACCGAAGAAAGGCGATCTCAGCAAGTGTGATAACTACGGGAGAATCACTCTTCTCTCAATACCGGGAAAAGTCTTCAACGGGGTATTGTTAAACAGGATGAAGGACTGCGTAGACGACCAACTTCGTGACCAACAGGCAGGATTCCGTAAGGATAGATCGTGTACAGACCAAATCGCAACTCTACGGATCATTGTGGAACAATCAATTGAATGGAATTCATCGCTCTACATCAACTTCATTGGCTACGAAAAGGCATCTGACAGAGTAGACAGAACAACACTATGGAAGCTTCTTCGACACTACGGCGTGCCTCAGAAGATAGTCAATATCATACGGAATTCCTATGGTGGATTAAACTGCAAAATTGTGCATGGAGGACAATTGGCCAAGTCATTCGAAGTAAAGACCGGTGTAAGGCAAGGTTGCTTACTCTCACCCTTTCTCTTTCTCCTGGTGATCGACTGGATCATGAAGACGTCAACGTCTGAAGGGAAGCGCGGGATACAATGGACATCTAAGATGCAGTTGGACGATCTAGACTTCACAGATAATATGACCCTTCTATCCCAAACGCAACAACAAATGCAGGAAAAGACGACCAGTGTAGCAGCAGCCTCAGCAACAATAGGTCTCAATATACACAAAGGGAAAAGCAGGATTCTCCGATACAACACAGAATGCAGCAATCCAATCACAATTGACGGAGAAGATTTGGAAGATGTAAAACCTTTACGTATTTGGGCAGCACCATTGATGAACAGGGTGGATCTGATGCAGATGTGAAGGGGCGGATCGGCAAAGCAAGAGCAGCATATCTACAACTCAAGAACATCTGGAACTCAAAATAACGGTCAACCAACACCAAAGTCACGATGTTCAATACAAATGTCAAGACGGTTCTACTGTATGGGGCAGAAACCTGGAGAACTACGAAAGCCATCATCCAGAAAATACAGGTGTTTGTTAACAATTGTCTACGCAAAATATTTCAGATCCGTTGGCCAGACACTATTAGCAACAACCTATTGTGGGAGAGAACAAACCAGATCCCAACGGAGTGAGAAATCAAGAAGAAGCCCTGGAACTGGATAGGACACACATTGAGGAAAGCACCCAACTGCGTCACAAGACAAGCCCTCACATGAAGTCCTTAAGGCCAAAGGAGAAGTGGAAGACAAAAGAACACATTACGCCGGGAAATGGAAATGGACATGAGAGAAATGAACAATAATTGGATGGAACTAGAAAAGAAGGCCGAGGACAGAGTGGGTTGGAGAATGCTGGTCAGCGGCCTATGCTTCATTAGGAGTAACAGGCGAAAGTAAGTAAGTAAGTAAGTTCTAATTTCACTCAATCCAGTCTAATGTTAAATTGCTTCCTAATGTTTGTCAAAATGGTTATTATTCAACAAATTTCTTTGAAATAACCATCTTTATTTTTGATGGACAGAGTTATAAAGAATCTGGTGTCAAAGTAAATACAAAGAAATCATCATCTCTATTAGGAAGAATATTTGGATTCTCACTAAGCAGTAATAATAACAAGTCGAATATTGATTTGTAAGAAAACGCATGAACAATGGAATGGTGGACAATGGATTGGTGTTTGCAACAGAAACAGTCCAGTTTGGTTTGATGCATGAATATTTTGCAAATTACTATACGGTATTCAGATTTTATTGAGATAATCTAATCTGTTAACTGAATTTAGTCACTCAGATTAATGGTGTATTCTGAATGAAGTCAATCAGCTGTATGGTGACATTTGTTGATGTATGATTGAGAGCATCTGGCAGGTTATTTTAAATGAAAGTATCGTTTTTGCCGACAATCGCCACCTAGGTTTATTTTCGATCATTAGCAAACTAATGTTTCATGTCTTGTTAATACATATTACCGATAATTCCTTACAAGCATGAAATCCTGCTCATGATTTCCAGCTGATCGCCTCTAATCTTTCTACATAATTCTTTCTTATCTGCCTAAGTATTCAGTGTATGTTCTCTAGCAGTAGTTCAAATTCACTGGGAATTTCTTACGGAGAAGACAATAAAACAGAAATCAGGATCTTGTTGTTACTTGTATTATCTATCGACTTCCATTTATTAGTCTGTATGCAATTATTTCTTATGTTTGAGCGTTAGATTATCTCATTTACTAGGCCCAGGTTAGTGTAGTTACCTTCAAGCCACGTGCTGAATGTGAAAGCTAACTGTACTAACCAGTTGCCTAAATTGATGCAGTGGGACCAGGGTTATAAATCATTCTCTTAGTCTAATATTAAATATAACTGATCATCCAAACCTCATTAGATGGAGCAGGGTTCGAAACCGTATTTCATTTGTTGAAATTGTTTTGACCTGAATAAATAAATCACATCCTTACGAACGCCTGTATTTATTGTTTTAATGAATACTACACCATAACCAATGCTTATATCGATTATTCTGTTTAGTAACTCATACTAGGAG